TGAGTTATTCCCTTGATTGAACTGTTGAGCATTGGTGCGATTTGAAACTTGATTGTTGTAGGAATTGCCCTGGGGATATCCATGTAACTTGTAACATTTGTCTTTTGTATGGCCAGGTCTCTTGCAGTAGTCACAGAATGGTCGACCCCTGGATTGACCTGAGTTAACTGTATAGTGTGTCTTGAAATTTCGAGCTCCAAAGGGATTTTGATGTTGTGAAGGTGCAGTATTCACATGAAGTGAGGTAGACTCCAGGTTCAAATGACTACTTGGTTTGAACTCCCTTTGTTTTTCCTCTTGCACCAACAAAGAAAAGGCTTGTGCCAATGATGGTAAGGGCTTCATCATCAAAATGTTTCCTCTCATTGTCGTGTACACTTCATTCAATCCCATCAAAAACTGAATAAGTCGCCTGTCCTGCTCTGCCTTATGCATATTGTCCTTTGAGCCACACGTACAAGCATAAGTGCACTGGGACCTTGCATTGAGATTGCTCAACTCTTCCCATAGTCTTTTCATTCGCGTGTAGTAGGTAGTAATGTCCAAAGACCCTTGAACAAGATCATTGATCTCCTTTTGGATTTGATACAGCTTTGCACCGTTCGTTGGATCATATCGATCTTCCAATTCTCTCCACAATTCTACTGAATCACTAACATACTCAACACTATCAGAAATTTCTTTTGACAAGGAATTGAGAATCCAGGAAGTTACTGTGAGCACGTGATTTTTGCCCTATATGAATTACTCCCATAATTTCAAACAAAATAATTTCTTTTCATTATTTGCAATTTTGTGGATTTTCGTGGCATTTTCTGTTAATTGTTTGCATTTGTTTGTGCATGTTTATTTTATTTTGATTAACGAAAAATACAAAAATATATGTGCATTTGCATTTGGAGTCTTATTTCCATAGAATTCGCAACAACGAACGTAGTTTTGTGGCCTGAACTACGTTTGACTTGATCCCGAAAGGGTACGTAGGCAGCCTCTCTCTGAGGTTCAGTCACACCAAAATAAAATTCAAAAGTCCCCAAGAAAGAAACTGGGGTAGAAGTTGTGGTTGTTGTAAGAAATCTAATTCCGAAAGTTGTAATTTTGAATCCATGTTGAATTGTTTTGAGCCTTTGATACCCTTTCTTCCTAACCCTGTCCAAAAGCCTGCATTACGGTCCGAAGAAAGACCTTCTGATCAATCTTCGAGAGACGCCGAGTAAAGCGAGTAGAGGTGAACCATATCAGGGGTAACACTCCAGTCCAAACGAGGGAAATGAAGAATGAGAGAGTCTTGATGATAAATGCCCTCACGGGCACCATAAGGCAAAGTAAGCTGAGAGAAATAAAAATGAGAGAGTCTTATTGGTGAAAACCTTCACAGGCACCATAAGGCGATAGCGAGGTGAGAGAAAGACCAAAATGAGAAAGGCTTGATGGTGAAAACCTCTCGGGCACTACAAGTCGAATTAGGATAGTGAATCAGATCGGATAAGTGGAGCATTGAAGCCCAGTTTCACGGTAAAAAGGCACGACAAGAGTTGAACATCAGATTTGCTTAACAGAATAGGCCGCAGGTGCATGTCATGGTCATTAGAGTTGGTATCCACATCCGATAGGTTTCTACTTTGTAGTTTTCTTGTTAGGAATCATCTCTTCCCATTGTCCTCTACTCTGTTTTGTTTACTTCCTCCTCTTGAGTATGTCTGGTCAGAACAAGTAAGAAATGACTTCAAAATTTGCCACCAGCTTTCCAATTGCACAAAACGGGGTCTGGCTAACACTAAAATGTCATAAGTCAGGAAAAAACAACAAGCGCATTGAGCTAGTAACAATCAACATGCTTTGGGATCCTTATGAAATACAAAGGTTTGGTACATATCAATTTATGAACAATGCAACAAGATGGAAGGTGCTTGGTGAACGGATCAGAGATATTTTCTGTGGTAAGATTGACAAAAGGTGGTTGAACAGTGACAAGCAGGGTCTTCAAGTGGAAATCAAAGTTATCAGGGCGAGTGAAGGAACAATAGACCTCGAGGCCAAGGCCAGTGATTTAAATCGGGAAAGAACAACATGCGCGATGAGTTGGTAACAATCAATATGCTTTGGAAGTTCATGTGAAACACAAAGGCTTGGTATATGTTAATTCATGAACAATGCAACAGATGAAGGGTTGGGTGAACAGCTCAAAGGTATTTCCTGTGATAAGATTGATAAAAGGGTGTTAAACCAGTGACGAGCAAGACTTTCCAAGCAGAAGTCAAAGTTAGGAGCCGTAGACCTTAAGGACAGGACCAGTGGTTTAAGGAAAGAAAGAACAGCATACGCAATGAAGGGGTGACAAGTGTCGTGCTTTGGGGTTCATGTGAGACACAAAGGTTGGGGAGGCACCAATTCATGCAACGCAACAAATAGAAGATATTGGGTCCAAACGGAGAAAAGGAATTTTATGTGATGGGGACGACAGAGAAAATGGTTAGTCCATAAACAAGCAAGGTCCTCGAGTGGAAGTTAGTCATCATGGGAAGCGAAGGAGCTATCGCTCTCAAAGTCAAGGCCACAAACCAACCACCACATTTTAAACTGACAAGATTTTTCTTTGATTGAAACAGGGGCAGAAATTTCGTTCGTTTCGGAGAAACCCACCTCAAGGAAAGGCAGGCACCAGACATGTTTGACGGTAAGTTTTCAGGACCCTCCTGGAAAATGGGACTTAGTTTAAATTTTAAAGCAATCATGAGTAGCATAATTTAGCATAAATGTACCCCAAGGAACATAAGTTGGTTTCAAAGTTGCCTGTTTAAGATAGGACTCAATTAGGAGTTGTCAGGACCCTCCTGAATAATGGGACACAGTTTTAAGATCTCCTTTAGATAACAAGATACTGTTGTGGGATAGTATAATTCAGCCATAGAATTGGCACTCATAAGATAAGACTTGATTTTGATTTTCAGGTCCCTCCTGGATAATGGGACGTAGTTTTAAGGTCTGCTTAGATAACAAGATATAGATAACAAGGTCTGCTTAGGTTAAAACTGTTTTTTTTTAACTAGAAGTTGTCAGCAATCAGGCGCCCACCTGGAGAACAAGGGAACACATTTCAAGTTCAGCAATCAGGCGCCCACCTGGAGAACAAGGGAATATTTCAAATTTCAGCAATCAGGAGCCCGCCTGGAGAACAAGGGAATACTTTTTAAGCGTCTGCAGTCAGGAGCCAGCCTGGATAACAGAGGCATATATTTCAAGTTTTAGCAATCAGGAGCCCGCCTGGAGAACAGAGGCATTTATTTCAAGTTTTAGCAATCAGGAGCCCGCCTGGAGAACAGAGGCATTTATTTCAAGTTTTAGCAATCAGGAGCCCGCCTGGAGAACAGAGGCATTTATTTCAAGTTTTAGCAATCAGGAGCTAGCTTGGAGAACAGAGGCATATATTTCAAGTTTTAGCAATCAGGAGCCCGCCTGGAGAACAGAGGCATTTATTTCAAGTTTTAGCAATCAGGAGCCCGCCTGGAGAACAGAGGCATCTATTTCAAGTTTTAGCAATCAGGAGTCCACCTGGAAAAAAGGGAATTCAATTCAGAATGCAATTCAGGTCAGCAACAAAAGAAGCTCGCGTCAAGAATGCGAGTCAGCAGTCCGAGATGATCAATAGAAGTTAGTCACATTCCAGAATAAAAAGAAAAAAAAACAAAAAGAAAGGCAAGAAGTGAGTCCAATTGCAGAAGTTAATGAAAGATACGAGCTGCTCAAGACAAGGCTGAGGTCACAAGCTCTCCATGTCCCGTCTTGGTTTGAAAAGCTGAAGAAGATTAAACCAACACCTGCAGCTAACAAGCATCAAGATTCGGATCGGGGTCCGCATGAAGCACCAACCAAGACTCAAGATCAAGCTTCAGAAGACTCATAGATAGGAATCTTGTAACTCGTAGCTGATAGGCTTAGTTAGTCTTTTTCATTTTTGATTTTGATGTAATAACGGGACCGCGAACTGGAACCTCGGCGAAACGGCACCTCGACCGGCTCTTCACCTCGGCGAACTCCATCATCTCACTCACTTCTGAACTACACGTGGCCTGATTCCTTTATAGCCAAGGATATGTAGGCAGCTCAGATACCAGGGCTCGGTCACATCCCTCTTTTCTCTTAGTTTTAGTCTCTCCAAATAAGGGTCGGGTCAAAAACCTGTCTAGTCATTCTTTGTCTGAAAACTCTTCGAGTTTCCAGTCAAAGAGGGGCAGCTGTTGACATGTGATTTTTGACCCTCCCCGAAATTTTACCCATTTTTAGCGTGTAAATATTTAATGTAGGCCTAATATAGCTATTTCAACCATTTTTGACTTCTTTACTTTATTTTATTATCAGAAATGAAAATTACAAAAAAAAAATATTTTAGTTTATGTATTTGTCATAAATTTGAAAAAATGCAAAAAATAGTACCCTATTTTTATCTTTATATAATTTCGAAAATACAAAAAATAGTTTCATGTTTAGTTTAATTAATTAGGATTAGTTTTGACATGGTGTAGTATTTCTATCTTATTTTAAAAGGTCTTGTGTAGTCTAGGGACCCTTCTAGACTCTTCTTTAGGACAAAAAATAAATAAAAAGACCCTAAGGACTTAACACAAAAAGCCTAGGGACTAATTGACAAAATACACAAAATATAACCCTAATCCCTACCCCTATATAATAGTACCTACACCATATACACAAAAAAAAAAAATCAGATTCGCCGCTGGTACAATATCCCCGGCCCCCTGTGATCGTCTTCTTCATTTTTGGAGAAGATCCAAATAAGTTAAATCCAAAAAAAAAAAACAAGAAAGCGGAGTTTGCCGAGTGTTGCAAGGTCAATCAAGTTCGTTCGATTTTGCCGAGTTGCCAAGTCCCGGTCATGGTCCCTTGTTCGAATTTTCAATTGCTATTGTGTCAGCAATTTTTAAGTGTAAAGACGGAAGTTTCATTATAAATTGAAGAAAATGTCATATTGAGGTGCATTCTTAATCCCTCCTCTACTGCTTTTGCCCTTTTTAATTCATATGTAATTTCTGGTGTGAGATTTGGATAAATGATGATGATGTTTGTTTTCTTTAAATATATATATAATTGTCCAGAATAAGTTTTTGTTGCTAACTGTTCCATTATGGTAGTTACTTGATTTAAATCTACTGTTTGTTTTCTTTGAATTTCAGCATGAAAAAAATGAGAAGATAAATTCCATGCTTGCATTGAAACAGCATTTACGTTAATCCTATATTCAAGGCATAGCTCGGATTCATACTAAGTTGTGTTCATCACATTTTTTGTGCTTTACACAAATTTAATTATACAATATTATTTCATTTTGATCTCATACATGTGTGATGCTTTATTTGGCATGGTTTGGTAAATACTTTGATATTCAACTGATGATTGAGTCAATTTTATCTTAGTAACCATGTATAGTTTAGTTTCTTAAATTGAATAGATAGTCTGTCACTATTTGAGCAAATTTTGTTGATTAACAAAAGCAATGACGTATTCTTCATTTTATTGCATCTGTCTTTACTTGGAATTCGGTGGATGTGATGTAAACTGTTTACAAATTAGCTTGCGCTGAAATTGATCATGAAATCTCTTTAGCAAGGGTGCATGTTGGGCCTTTCCTATCCAAGGCCGATGCTCCCTCGTTGGGTTAATTCAA